ATGCACTTGGACTGCGCAGGGCAGAGTGTGCAGTCACAGGGATGCAGGTGGAGATGGATGTGCTCATCCAGGACAGGCTGAGCACCACAAGGCAAATTCCAACTTCCCAAAGCACAGCCCAGGGTGTGGGCACAGCCACTGCCTGCAGAAAGCCATGAGCAGCCCCACGGCCTCAAGGAGCATCTCTCACTGCTGCTGGAGCCAACAGCATGGGAAGGAGGGCATGCTGCTCCACTCCCCACGGCCTAGGCATGTTTTTGGTACTTGCACTCTGGTGGTGACTTATGACAATGAATTAATGGCCTCTTAATAAGGGTGACAGTTCCCTTAATTAGAAAGTATCAGAGCAGGGATAATTGCTTTATTTCATTTAGTTCCCCTATATTACTTCCTTCATTTTTGGTCCTCGTTCTCAGCTGCTGGCTGCCCTCTGGGAGCTCTTCCTTCCCAGAGCCAGAAACACCCCCAGGGTCAATGGACATGACATGGAGAAGGGAAGGATGGAGAGAGGTGGGTGTGGGTATGGCTGTGGTGCTGTGGCTTCACTGGGACAAAGATGGAGGGGGTAGGTGCAGATCCAGATGTGGTGCTGCCATTTTCACAAGGACAGAGCCAGGTTTGTGGCAGTGCCAGGTGCTGGCAGCACCTGGGCAGGGTCAGAACAGGTCCTTGGCAGTTCACACTGGGGTCGGTGGCACATGGGACAGCCCAGCACAGGACATGGGGCTGGAAAGGTTGGAGTAAACAGGAGAGAGCTTCTGGAGGAGCTCCCAAGGATGACCCACTAGAGCACAGGCAGCAAGCAGCAAGTAACAGTTCTGAGATAAATTATTAATTCCAAAATTAGTATCATTTGGGTTGACCAGAGCTGTGCCCCAGCCCGGATGCACCAGTAGCTTTGCTGCAAAACAAAGTTGAACACTCACAGTGTTTCACTTGAGTCTTTTTTGGAAGGCCAGATTTGGGGTTTGGTTTTGATAAAACATTCCCAGGCAGCACGTTTGCCCAGGCTGTTAGTGGGGGGCTCCAGGAAAAACCTTCACACCCCTCACCCAAACTGAGCCACTTCGCTTCCCATCAGAGGATGCATTTTCTAAAACTAAGGAGGATTTGGTGAAGCCACAGAGCTTCATCACCAGTCCTGTCCCGCATCCCTGCATTCCCTCCTGCCCTCCATGGTGCTGTGGCTGCCCCAGAGACCTGCCCTCCTGGATTGGGAGGGGTCCAAGTGGGACCCTGTGGGTCGATATGACCAGTTACCCCCCATGTCAATATGACCTTGTAAATCATAAACTGCAGCCTCAGGACCCCTGAGAGCTTCATTCCTCCTTGAGACAGGAGCATTTTCCCCCTGAACCTTCCCTCTTCACACTGCAACAATTTCCTTTCTCACCGTGTCCAAAATTAAATCTGTTTGGATTTTCTCTCGCTTTTTTTTTCTCCTCTTTCGCTTGTATTTGCTGAGTGCATTCAAGCACAGGGAGGGGTGGAAAAAAATAATAAAAAAAGCCATCAGCATAATTCCCGGCTGTCGGAGTGATGGCGGGCTCCGGTTTCCAATCAGCGGCCCAGGCTGCGGAGCAGCGTGCGGGAGGAGGCTGGGGCTGGCCCGGATGCTGCCGCACAAACCAGCTGTGATTCCCTCTTTGTTCAGGAATAGCTCTGCTTCAGCCGGACCAGCCTCTGCACAGCCCATCCTGAGGATGTGTGAGCATGTGGCTGCTCCAAGGGGCTTTGTCCCCCCCCCCGCCACTCCAAGGATAAAGGGGATGGAGCAGATGGCTGCGATCCTTTATCCCAGGATAAAGCCCTGGGAGACAGGGAATGTTGGAGGGGAGGCTGGACGAGTCTTCCATCCGGATCTGGGCACTGTGGTTGTTCCCTTTCCCTCACCTGTCTCTGTGTCTGGTGCACGAGGCTCAGCAGACATGGGCTGAAGTCTGGGCTCCCAGTGCTCCCAGTCCCATGCACTGAGCATCCCACCACCCGGACAGTGGAGATGCTGCTGCTGGCTCTGCACAGTCCCACGTGCACAGCAGCTAGTGGGAGTTTTTGGGAGGTCTCTAAAGCAGGGAAATGTGGAAGAGGCTCTGCAGACACAGCATCTGTATTATTTTAACAATGTTAAGGGTCTGAAAGGTGCTGCTGCAGCCTGTGGGTCACACACTGGCACAGGTTGCCCAGAGAAGCTGTGGCTGCACCATCCCTGAAAGTGTTCAAGGCCAGGTTGGAGGGAACTTGGAGCAACCTGGGATAGTGGAGGGTGTCCCTGCCAAAGGCAGGGGGAGTGGAACTAGATGGTCTTTAAGGTCCCTTCCAACCTTAACCATTTCATGATTCTATGATTATAATATGTGCTTTAAAGTTACTTTTTGAAGTGTAAATACCCCATCAGCCTGTCCCACTCTGGGCAAGGGGCACATTCCTGCCTCCAGGTCCCAACATCCTGTGAGGATCTGCATTCAGAAAATCAGATTTTTTCCTGCCTTTCCTGTAAGAGGGTGTTTTTTTCTCATTTTTGGCCAGGTGTCTTTACCTGCCTCCAGGTCCCAACATCCTGTGAGGATCTGCATTCAGAAGAGCAGATTTTTTTCCTGCCTTTCAATGATTCAAAGAGTTAGGTCTGAATAAAAAAAAAAAAAAAACAAACAACCAGGAAACCCCAATCCACGTGGTTTCCTGATTTCTGGAGGTTACCCAATAATGGGATGATCTGAACCTTGGGAGTGTATTCACCATTCCAAGAGGGCTA